CCCACACCCACACACCCACATCCACACCCCACACCCACACCCACACCCCACACCCACACACCCACACCCACACACCCACACCCACACCCAGCCACACACACCCACACCCACACCCACCCTAGTACAAAAGATCTCGTGCTTAAGTAGATTATTAATTTGAGTATTATATATATATGATCAACATAGACTTTTGACTTAAAGCATGAGACTATTGACAGTTTATGTCTTTTCAGCAGTGGCAAAATACTTTTCAGTTAAGCTGCGTCTTCTTATGTTGAACACTTTTTTTGGCTAAATCATTTGAGGATACTATCAAAATTGTGATAATAAATGCAACATTGAATGATGTAGTAAACAAATATAATTGCTTTCAAATTTCTTGAAAAGTAAAGAAAGGATGAAAAAAATTAAATTTATCTAACGACAGACTGTTTCTGTTTTGCATAATAATTGTAGAATCTTCATATTTCCATGAACTATACGTTACTAGGGAGAAAATAATAAAGAAAAAAAACTCTACTATTTTTAATTTACTTTCCTATTGTTACTAAAAATTAAATTTTAATTTCAAAATGAAATATATTTATGCTTGAGTTTTTTTCACTTTTAATTTACATAATTACATACATGATTTAGCAATATTTAGTGTCAAAATCCAACTGCAATATATACGCTGTTTCCCAACCAAGGACAACATTGCATTCTCACCAATTGAAAACTGGAAAATTATGCCAGTTGTAACTAAATAAACACAAAGACTACGATGAGTAATTAATTTTTTCGAATGAAAAAAGAAACTTCAACTAGTAGATAGTACTATGTAGTTTAAAAGAAGATTTGTTATTCATGAATGATGAAGAATGAGTTACAATAAAACTAAATAATAATCAGCTTTTTCATAAATGAAAAATAATTGTCTATGTCAATTATTTTCGATAGATAATGAAGAGTATTATTGTAAATAAAATATTTGACAAGAAGTTTTTTTTTTCGAGAACTTGAATTTAGACGAAACTTAAGTTCTCACGTGAGCTAAGTCTATTGAGCATAAATGGAATCAGTTAGCATTGATCTACATATAGTCATATTGTCATGGTGTTTCCTAATTAATGTTAACTGATCTATACATGAAATGAAAACATTTTCTGACACGTGTGAAATATATGACAAATAGTTTTATATATTTGCTTTCTTTATTCAAAGCAGATCGGTATATATGTTAGATGAAAATTTTGATTAGACAAATATTTTAAACAAATAAAATGATAACTGATGCGGTCTTTGTCCGAGTTTTATATCTAACTCCCTCTCACTTCTGTTACCCTAATTTTATCATATAACTCATTCTAGAACAGTAAATAAGTCATGACACATTAACAAAAATTGAATTTAAGTGAGAAAAAAAAGTAGTTGAACAGCTGAACACAATATGCTAATATCTCTTTAAAAGAACCCCAATGTTTTTACTACGAAGAGTAATCAAAGTATTATCCACACGGTTGTAATTGTATATCAGGAAGCAAATCAATCTTAGTTGTATGAAATTATGTCTTGATTATGAATACACGTGGAAAATATTCATTTTGTCAAGGTCAGTTTTATTCCGCCGATACTAATCAAGTAAGCTCTTATCTACTTTCACGTACTCTGAATGCGAGTTTAGTGGAGAATATTATAACCAATAAAATTTATAGTTTAATGTCTATAATGCATTCTATTTCCAACAATTGACAAAAGTGACCACGAGTGAAAACAACAGAAGTCGTTCGATCGAAGTCACTTGATTCTAATGAGATGAATTATACTATACGAATATCGAACTTATCGTTTACAAAGGTATCTTCATCTATGGTTTATAATGACATAATTTCTATCTACTGTCTTATAAATAAAAATTCATTCATTGAAACAATCTCTAATTATTGCACTGAGCATTTCGTCTATGAATGATGAGTGCACAAGACTTCTCAATAAACTATATAGTAAAATAAAAACTTGATTATCTCTACTGTGCATGATTTTTCAGTAATGAACAGGTTTTTTCTGTACATCATTAACACAATATTAATAACTGGACAAAGTAGACTTCAGTTGACCATTATCTAGTGATCCTTTTTGAAGAAAATCTTTGTCACATACTTTTTGTTTTCAATTTTTCATTCACAAATGAAGTTTTCACACAACTCTAATGGTTATACATTTCATCGATCTGGAACCCCGGCGTTCTCCCGAATATTGGTGCGAGTTTTGATTAATCAGGAAGTATGTATTTTCAACAGTTTCTCGTCTTGTATGAATCATTATTGCAGCGTATTTAGATGACTTCAAAATGGAAAGGAAGATGTCTATAAGAGAAATGTTCAGACAAGAATATCTTCAAACGAAGATTCTCCAATTCTATACGCATAATAATTCTTGCACTATCGATTAATATATAAAAAAGGGAGATATATTCATATAGATTCAATTTCTTCTTTGCAATACATATACAAAAAATCATATCCGTTTTCAAACACCAGCATACTTCTTCTCTTCGTATACTGAGCAATCGTTATACATTACCAAGGGAACTAGGAAGAATAGATAGAATATATCGAGTCAAATCGTAACTATTTTTGTTTATATTAAATCTATTTAGATTTATTCAAGATGAGTAAAGTGGAACAGTCATGTAGGTATTTTAAGTCGGAAAGAGCAATAACCAGCATATGTATAGTTGTTTAATAATTACAGGCAAATAAGTAGTTTTCATGTTTTCATTGGTATCAACACGAGCATCTCATAGTGTAGTGTAGCTAAAGAATAAATTAATACGTAAGTTTTCTCTGTGTCATATGAGCAATAAGATAATGTAGACTTTTAAATTAAAGTATGAACCTATTGAAAGTTGGTGTCCTTTCAACAGTGGTCAAAATACTTTTCAGTTAAGCCGCACCTTCTTACGTTGAACATTCAGGGAAAATATTTCCGAACTTCTTGAGAATTAAAGAAAGAATGAAAACAATTAAAATTATTTAGCGATACACTGCTTTTGTTTTGCATAAAAATTTGGGATTGTTCATACTTCATTAAACTATATCTTCATATGGAAAAAATAATAATAAAGAAAAAAAAAGACTATTCCATTTTTGGAATTACTTTCTTATTGTTACTAAGAATTAAATTTTAATTTCAAATTGAAATGCATTCATACTTGAGTTTGCTTTACTTTTTATTCACATCCTTACATGCATGATTTTGTGATATTTTGTTTAAAAAGTTCAACGGCAATCTATGTGCTGTTTTTCAACCAGACACAGCAATAAATTCTCACGAATTGAAAAATGAGAAAATTATGATAGCTATAACAAAATAAATGAAAATGCTGCGATGATTAATTAATCTTTTCGAATGAAAGAAAAAATGTTCAATCAGTTGATAGTAGTAGTTTAAAAAGAAGATTTGTTATTCATGAGTAACGAAGAAAGACATGCAAATAAAACTAAATAATAATCGGCTTTTTCTTAACTGAAATATAATTGTTCATGTCAATGATCTTCGATAGATAATAAAGTAATATTGTAAATGAAAGATTTAACAAGAACTTTTCGTCAACAATTAATGGTGGACCGCAGTGTCACAAAGTAAGTCATTGACTTATCAGCATTATACGAGAATAGAATTGTCTTTCACTAAAAATAAAATGCATTCATTCACATAGAAATATAAGTAGTTTCCGATCAGTTACTTCTGATTCTGTTAAAAAATAGCACAACATCTTTATTAGTAAAGAAAAATAAAGTAAAATACTTTTTTGAGAAGCATAAAAATATTTGATGAATACAGTCATTCTGAATAACAAAAAAATTTAAAGTAATTATCTAAGAGGAGTTAAAGCACAGCTGCAAAACGGGTAAGAAAATATCATTCAAGCAAACGTTCAAAATTAAAACAATGAAAGCATATCACAAACTAGAAGGGTATTTCTCTCTCCATTCCTCACAATGATGATGCTTCTCGAGCTATTACATGATTTCAGTTATATCTAAAACAATGTTAAAACAAGCTTTTTTCACCAGTTATAAAAGAGAAAAAGAAAAAGAGGCATACATCATCGAAGTTGATATTTAGAAGAAGTCATTTGGAGAATAGACGAGACAAAAAGAAGAAGAATATAGAATGAATAACTTTTAAAAGCAACAATTCTAATGACTTGTTGCTTTTCTAAAGAAGCAAAAAGAAATCAACTATTCATTAACGTTGATTTCATCTGTAGATTCATAGATCATCAGAGTAGTAGAATTATACGTTTAACCTTTCGATCGATCAATACATATTTAAGATTTGCATAGCATAGTTAATAAATATTCTTCTAGATCAATGACTACCAAAGTTAGTACTCATATCCGATACAAAAATCAATTTATACATTTCATCAAGAATCTGAACCTATACGATGATGATGATACGTTGACTCTGAATGAGCAACTCTTATCTACACGTGTTCTGATTATTTCATTTTCGATTACTCTCTTACTTATACTATTATTCACTGGTATTATTCCTCAAACACGTCTAATCACTGTTTATTCACCATCTGTCAATAATTTCGAAAATCTAATCAATAGGTATCCATCTACAACTACGTGCCGCTGTTCTCAAACATCGATTCTTTATTCACAAATTGTGTCATTGAATGCTCGATTTCATCAAGTTTGCTCAAGTGATTTTGTCAGTGAAAAATGGTTTTCTTCATTATTCAATGTCAATACAAGCAATTACTATCCTCTTGATTTTCGTTTGATGGCTTCTGCACAATTTCAGATTTTATCTATTCTCTGTCGAATATCACGTCAAGCTGTAATCGATGCTCTTAAAGAATTTGCTGCAACGACAATGTTATCACCAAGTGCATTATCACGCGATGTAGTCAACATATATGTAGGCACGTCTATAGAACAATTCCAGAAAACAACACTTGACAGTTACCGTTCACACATTCATTTTATATTATCTATTCTTGCAGAACAGCGTTTTATATCTGCATTAAGAACAAATTTCTATACGAGAAGTGTTCTTGGTAGCAATAATTTTGTAACTTTTCCTGCCATTTATCCTCAACAAATCGATCCAACTCAATCGTCATCGATACTAAATGAAACATGTCAATGTGATCGTACAAATAATTGTATTTATCCTGCTGGCATTTATAATCAATCGCGATCTATCATTCCGAATGAAGTCTTTTCACTTGATGCATCACCTCTATTCATGATACCAGGATTTCAAGTTGGATGTGTACCACAAAATGCATTGTTTCAATCAACATTGGAATGCTTTTACAATCAAACATGTTTAGATATTGTGATTTCGTTGACTGGTGCTCTTCGCACTATCTCACCTCTAAATATATCAAACTCTAATTCACGATTTAGTCCAACAACAACAATTGCTATTCTTTTTGATAATCTAATGATTGAGTCTTGGGAGAACTCTATTGATTTTGCTACTTATTTTCAAACTTGTGCACCTAAAATCTGTTCATATTCATATGTACAACGGTTTTTTCTCATTTACATGATTACAACCATAGTTAGTGTCTTTGGTGGAATTAGCGTGACATTACATATAGCATCTCCATTGTTCGTCAAATTCATTTTATATTTATATCGCCGATGGGTTTCAATGCAAGAAACAGAAGAAAGATATGAACCAAAAAGAAGTAAAGTCACTCTTTACATTAATATATATTTTTTTCTTCTTCTTGTACTTTTTGTTTTCATAGATTTACAAGATCGTATATGGAATTTTCTTAAGCGAATTCGTCACAAAACTATCACATTGAATTTGTTCAAGAAAACTTTAACCAATGTTCAACATGGTATTTATTCTACACGTGTCTATATCATATTGCTGATGTTGGGTATTTATATTTTGATCATTTACTCTACATCAATAGTTAGTTCACAACAAATCATTGTCAGAAATCCAAGTATCGATCAATTTCAACATCTTCATGACATGTATTCATCAATTCTATCATGTCCATGTCGTAATTCATCAATACCACGCTCGAAATTCATATCCATTGAAGTAGAAATTCATCCATTTTGTACAAGTAATTTTGTTCGTGATGATCGTTGGTTACAATATTGGACAATGAAATTTCTCAATGGTAGCATCGATCCTACTCCATCATTTTATTCCAATGATTTTCGTAAGGATGGATGGAAGTTTTTTAATTTTGTTAAAATATTATGCGACACAGTCAATATAAGTCTCGCTAACACAGTACATTCGTTTCAAGCAAAACATTTTTTCTCTCGTCAACTTATCACTCCACTACAATTAAGTGAAACAATTCAAGATTGGAACACTTCTTTTCAATCTCAGGTAGAATACGATGAAGAAAGAGACCTTAAAAAAATCTTTTCTTATACTTTTGAACATCTAAATTGGAATTATTTTTGTCAAACTGTACGAAACTCTTTCCTATCTTACGAAGAATATCTATGATAATATTGATCTTCTACAGATAAAAGAAAAAACATAAATAGATTAATCTGAAAAAGCAAAACAACTTTATTCTAGTGTCACTGAATACAAAATATATCATTATATTCTTTTTTATCTAGATTTACTCTATATATGTATCTAAATTTTTTTCAATGGTAGCAAGTATTCGACGGAGTGGATTAATTCCACTCGATTTTGTTGAACCTTCTGTGGTCTCCACCCAGATCAATAGCACATGGACTTTAGAGTATGATGCGTTAATTAACGGCGGTTCCAATGATCAGGTGCCATGCGATTGTATACAAGACTATTCTTGTCGAAGACAATTGTACATCTATAGCGATACAGAGATTTGTCTTCAAATGAATCTGCGACCTTCAATTGTTTCTGGCCTACAGCTTGGCTGTTATCTTCTAGATTTTATTTCCTCTACACTAGAATGTTTTTACGATGAACCTTGTGTTCAGATGCTAATTGATCAGCGTCTTTGTGGTAATAGAAATATCTATTTACCAATAGATTTAAGTAATATAACAGCGCTTGATCCAAACACTTTAATCAATTTTCACCCTCAAGATCAATTAGGAACGTTAATGCTTAGTTCTCTTGTTAATCAATTGATTTATACAGCAAATTATACATTGTACTATGCTGAATGTCAGCCAGAGATATGTACTTATACGATAGATCAGGAATTACATGCTATTGCTCGTATTAACTTAGTTATTGGTCTGATTGGTGGACTAACTATTCTACTTCGTATCTTAGTTCCATCATTCATCAAAATGATCCATTTGTTTTATCGTTTCTGCTATCAGCAAACACGAGGTGAGAGATTTTTTTCATCCATTATTTAATTATGTTGAATTATTTCAGATGTTCCTTTACATTGGAGAATGATTTTTATCTATAGTCGAGATAAACTTTATCTCCTGAATGTGTACCGAGAAAAAACACAAGCGGCATATCAACAACATTTAGCAACAAGAATCTATATTGTTCTACTTGTTCTATCTTTCATAATTGTCTCAGTTTTCGTGCGATTTCAACATCGAACAATACTCATAAGCGTAGATTCACCAAACGAAACTTACTTTTCATATCTTCACAGTCAATATTCTGATAGTTTATCTTGTCCTTGTACAAATATAGCTATTTCTTATGTAAATGTCTCAACGTACTCATTCACATTCCATGAAAGTTGCGACCAGGCGACTATCCAACAAGATTTCCTGGCGTCACCGTTACCAACAGACATACCCTGGAAAATACCTAGTTGGAATCTCATCAAATCACAATTTTTTATTCTATATATCCGATGTTCTGTCAAAAGGGTTAGTTTAGACTTCTTAAGAAACACCTTTACTGACGCAAGTTTGATATCAGTCGAAGCAATGACCTTACAAACATTTCATTTACAGTTTAATGCTTTTACAACGGGAATATTTAATAATTCGTTGGTCTCAACATTTGATACTTATAAATTCGTTTCTGATATGCTTCAAGCAAATCAATTTCATACTCGATATATGACAAGCTGGAAAATAGAATTTTCGAGCTTAGATGAAAAATATATTCTTCGTAACAGTCCAATTTCGTTGAGCAATGCTACTTACTTTTGTCCAAGTGGGAAATCCAACTGTACAAAGGTACCTATATATTATGATTCGATCGGTCATCCACATGTACTTCCAGGTAAACTCTTTAATCAAGCTTTCTCATATGCTTTCATAATTGTACTTTGATTTATTAAGATTTTTAAAAAGGTCTATGATTAAAAGATGATAGTTGAAGAACTAATTGCATATTATTGATATTTCATTTATTTAGGCATTGTCATTGGATGCTCACTCATGGATGGTCTTTCACAGTCAACATTTGAATGTTTCTATGATGATGTTTGCGTCAATCGACTAAACAGACTGCTTCTCACTTCATTTACTACATTTAATCTTAGTGCAATACAGTTCCCACCAACAACTCCAATTGGATCGATTCTAGATGAGAATTCCATAGTATCATTCGATTTATCAGCGAATTATTCTTCATATTTTCAAAAATGTGCTCCATCAAAATGTCAATATCATTATACTGAACAAAATGGTTTTGTTTACATATTCACAACACTGCTTGGATTGTATGGTGGATTAACTGCAGGTCTACATTTTTTTATATGGAATTTATTGTGTCTTTACCGAGTCATGGTCAAGCGTTGTTCATGTTTGTTGCAACGCGTACATCCGTCGTCTTCAACTTGAATGAACCATCTATGATATGAACAACGCTTCTTATTAAACTCATTAAAAATAATGTCAATTTTCAATGTTGTATGTTTTCTCTTGCTTTTGTCAAGCATAAAATTAAGCAATCAAGGTTACTATCGTTGCTTTGCTTTACTTTGCTTTTATTCAATTTGTTTTTCATGGAAAAATTAATTGTCTTCATTCAATAAGAAAACTTATTTGTATTTTAGCTTGCTATTGTACTCAATATCCATCGACATTACTTTGAATAAGATATCAGTAGTATTCACCAAACCGAGATAATCATTAGATGATTATACGAACATAATAATTTGCAATAGAATATATTATTTATTGAATAATCAAAGATGATGAACAAGTATAGTATTTTTATTTATATACTCTAGCTCATCATATGATATTCAGCTTAACGGGCCAATATTATATACAAACTTATCAGTCATCGCATATATTGTTGATTAATTTAACCTCTTATATATCGATGTGAAATGATGTATATAAGAATATTGTGATTGCAAAGTTTTATCTGAAATATCCAAATAAATAACAAGATTTGTTAATAGAACTATCGATTCCTTTTTAATTCATCGGTACATTGTTGTTTCGTTATTTTATTGCCGCCATTTTCCTATAACTTGGTTTCTATCGGTCATTGCTCAACCAATGGTATTTCGAGGCAAGTAGAGTACAGATTCGAGTTCTCCGCTCCAGAAAACCTCGAACTATCATTTCTGTAAACGGAAGATAGAGCTCTAATTGTGGATCAGTTAGAGCATGGATGAAAACATCCATTTTCCGTTTAATTATCTTTGCAATAGGTGAGCTAACCTTCTTGTTTCTTTATGATTTATTTGATTATGAGAGAAAAAGTTTTTTATGAAAGCGGGGACAGGTCGATCTTCACATACGAAAGCATAGGGAATAATGACTGTATTTCCAATAACTCGGCAATGGTTTGGTCAATCATTCTCATCTTCGAACTTGGCCGAGATATTGTTGAGACTAAACTGTGTAGAAAATTTCATCGCGATCAGACTCTTTTTTCAAAAGTTATCGTGTAAACGGTCGGCCGGCCGGCCAGACACACTGACAGATTCTAGAATGTACTCACTTTTTAAGTACACAAAAAATGTTCTTTCATAAAATTTAATCATTGATTATTTTTGATTGATATTGCCATGCTTCTTCGAGAATATTAAAGAAAAACTTACTTGCACTATCAAATATTTTTAATTGTTTTAAATTTTCATCACATAAAATTTCACCAATTATTGTATATGGGTAAAATCATTCGTTAGCGACGTGACATCGTAAACTTGGAGTATGCATATCTCGGCACTATCAACTAGTTTAAGTGTGATTTTTGAATGGTGTACGAGTCTCTATTTACTCTAGATACTATGAAAAAAACAACACTCTAGAGCTTTGTTCAGAGGAGTTATTAACGAAAAACTAGCGTTAGCGACGTGACACCAAAAAGGACATCAAAAGTCACTTGATATACTTTGGTTTTTAAAAATTTCTAAGTGTTGCACAATTGTCAAAAACTTAATACGCGATACTAGACACCACTCCTAAGGCCACCAAATCCCAGTGTAAAATTATTTTGAGAATGTTTAGGTTTTTAAAAAAATAAAATCTATTTGGCGGTAGCGACGTGACAACTTTGTTAGCGACGTGACTGAGTACGACTACACTACTGATCGAATGCTCTGGTAACGAACTGAAAAGTTCGACATCGATTCCAAGGGGCTCATATTAATGGTACGAGGTCCTAGAATAATACGAAGACAAACATTTCCATTTCCGCTCTGTCTAAGGGCTCTGAAAGGTCGATTTTTTGGAAGGAACTTTTTGAAGTCCGATCTCGATGAAAATTTTACCATATATGCGGCTCATACCCTAGAGCCAATCCTGAAGTTTTCAAGTTTTTTCCTTATTCAGTTCTCGAGATATTCGCTAATTACTTCTTAATTAGTTAATTATTAATTAATTAATTAATTAATTAATTAATAATCATATGAAAGAGCAGACAATTTTACATAAGCCTATGCAAAAACAATTCACTCAAAACATCTATACTGATAGAGAATTGCATTCAAATGCAATGGGGGAATGTCCCGTTTTCGCTGATTTTACCCATATACGCACACCTAAACGCATTTTATCACAAAGTAAGATTTTAACAATAGTTAATAATGTATTTGTTAGTAAAATTTTTTTGAACATAAAAATCAAAGAAAATCTCTATTTTGTGTTATAATTAATAAACGAAATAAAATTATATCTAAAAGAATTATTTGACCATTTGATCGTTATATCTTAATTGATTGATAAATTGTTAGAGAAGTAATACATCTTAATAATTCTATACTCCAGGATTCTATAGTATAAATATGAAGAATTATTTGTACATAATCAACACCAAAATGGTGGATTGATTCTTCAGAAGGATAAGAAAAATCTGGACCTTTTACAAATAAATATACATCTAAAAAAATGGACATGTTTTAATATAAAATAATTGTTTAGCAGTAAATATCAATGGTGATTGACGAAGTTGATTTAAATAGAATTTATATTGATCAGTCATAACATAATTACGTGCTATATAATGATTGATATGAATGATAATAGTGGATATTTCAAATTCAGGATGGACATTTGAGAAACTAGAGAGATTATCATACCATTGACTAATTATGCTAATAAATGAATTATTTTCATTATTTATTTTTTCAAATCTTTCGAATATAGTATTAATACATTTAATTGTTTCAGGAAAAAGTAATGAACCTTTCATATTAATTTCAATATCTTCATAATTAAAAACTAAATTTTTATTAAATAATGCAAATATACGAAATAATTCTACATAATTTGAGTTTTTGATCCATTGATCAGAATTTTGACTAATTAATTGCCATGCCCAATGTTTAAGGATAAGTATTGATTGATAGAATTGTGAAATAAATGATGATAATAATTTAGAATTTTGTTTTTCTAATATATAGCTTATTTCACCAAGATTATCATTGTATGATGAAGATATTATTTTTCATTGTTAATGTTTACAATATTTTTGTTTCTATTGCATATATCTAGTGTTTATTATAATCATTGATTAGACATGCATAAATATTAGTTTTTTATATTCATTTTGCTTATTTTTGTTATTGTGTTTATTGTTATTAATCAAATGTTTATAATCACATGACAGATAAATAAAACAAAGTGACACACACTATTTTTAAGCCACTTCAAACTTGGTAAGAAATTCTATTTTGTTTCTGTTCCTATTCGTGCTTATCAGTTACAAGGAAACTATTGACTCGATGAGTCTTTTGTTTTTCTTATTTCATCAAAGATCTAAGCTACGACAGTTTCATTCATATATCAAAGCGAATCTTCTTTAGATAAAGACAAACTTTCTCAGATTTTACTATTTTGTGTATGAATTCATTCAGATAGATTAGATTTTAATCATAAAAATAAAAATAAAAACTAGACAATACATCTATAAAAAATTACATCCAATCAATGAATCTAGTACATTGAATTTGATTCCTCAATTTAGAATATTTTTAAAAGGTTTCGATAGTGACAAAAGTTTTTTCTAAAGTAAGATATGGGAAGTTATTTCTTTGTC